ATTCCATGATTCTGTGATCTGGCCTTGCAGAGCGAGGTGACACCATCTGGGCTTTTTCTGAGCCAGGGTCTCCACTGATTTCCAGGTCCCTAAAATTCCCTTCTTCCCACCATAATCCCCCATTTCCCCATTCCATCACCATCCTCCCTCCTCTTTTGGACCTTCAAAACCACCAACATCCTACAGGAAACAGGGATCCAAGGAGATTCCCTTCTCCATCCCGGTATTGCTGCCAGGCCAGCTCCACCTGGGCCGGGTCTAACCTGCTTCCATATGGGAGACACTTCTTCCCATCCACGGGAATATGATCAAGCGCTCCCATGGGATGGGTTGGGATGGGATAAGAGGTTATTCCCAGGTTATCCCAAAGATCCCGTGCATGAGAAGGTGGTCAAGCCCTCCTCGTGGATCACACATGGGATGGGATAAGGGGTTATCCCCATCCCAGCTTTTGTGTGCCATAGGAAGCAGCTGAGGATGAGGGGCCTTGGGGACAGGCAGGTCCCTGCTGTCCTTCTCTCATCGCAGCTGGGCAATTTCTGGAGCTGAGCGCCCTTGGGTGCACCTGAACCTCCACCCACGTGGATGGCCAGAGGACATCCAAGGGTGGCCAGAGGATGTGGAGCTACACCCGTGTCCCACACGTGACAATTTGAGGCCGGGGTGGCTCAGGGCGATGAAGGGATGTGGAGAACAGGATCCAGCGTGTCCCAGCTGTGCCCTCTAGCACAGCTCCACCAGGTGCCACCGCCACTCCTGAGCCTGCCGGTGTCACCCCTGCAGGTCCCAGTCCTCCAGCTGAGGTCCCCAGCCCTGGTGGCTCTGGTGGCTTCACACCCCCCTGGTGAAGCCCCCTCTTGGTGGCCTGATGAACTTCTTGGTGTTTGCTGCCACCTGAGGTGACACAGAAGGGATTTTGTACCTCCAGGGTGCTGGGGGGACAGGGCCAGGAGGGGACTTCAGGCCAAGAGCTGACCTTGGAAATCTCAGAGAACACCTTAGAAAAGCTTTTAGGATCAGCCCAGGGGAGCAATTCCCTCTCTGCAGCCCCACAGGGGGATGAGGGATGAACGCTCCAGCTTTTAGGAGCAGGGTGGTGCTCCCACAGCTTCCTCTGGATCCAGGATAGGCTGCTCCAAGGAAAACTGAGCATCCAAATTGAATTTGGTGAGCCGTGGTCTCCATCTCCAGGGGGATGCAATGGGAGATGGTGGCTTTGTCACTTCATGGAAATCACGTGGGAAGGGAAGGGTGGGGCTCAGGTTGGATCCCCTGAGGGCTTTTCCCCTGGGAAAAAAAAAAGGAATTGGTCAAGAAAGTAATTTTTGCTTCACACACAGCAGGTTTTAAACTGCTTTTTTTTTTTTTTGTTCCATAATGGATTTCTGATCCCTTTTTTTTGGAAAAGTTCATCAATGGGAATTTTAGTCTGGAAAGCAGCAAATCCTTGGCATGGGAGCCCCTATTTTCCCTTTCCAGCCCTTTCTGGGATGGGGTTTGCTGTGAGCTCAGGGTGTAGCTGCACTGCAATGTTTGGCTTCGCTCCTTGCACACTTTCCCAAGCAGGATTTTTCAGGATATAGGGACTAAAACCGCTATTTATGACCTTTTTTTTTTTGTGATGCATTGGACTCCAAAGCGGCCCAGGGACACCCGTGGCCACCCTTGGGTGCCAGCGTGGGTGGGGGGGGTGCCCGGCTGGGCAGATTTGGGGGAGTTGTGGTTTTGTTGTGGTTTTCTTGCATTGCACAGGGTGCTGCTGCCCTCCAGTGGGCTCAGGCTGGAGAGGAGGCTGGAATTCCACACGGATTCTTGGGAAGGAGGAGGTGGGGCTGAGGATGTCCCTTCCCATGGGATGGAGCAGGCGCTGGACAAGGGATCCCACAGAGAAATCCTGGAGCAGGAGAAATCCCGCTCTGCCCCATCCCGCTCCCGACATGATCTCACTGCTCCTGGACCAGGAGCGGTTTGGAGGCAGCTCCAGCCCCTGATCCCTCTAAAAAATTCCGAATTTATTAATTTATTAGCAGTGAGAGCACCTGGCCTGGCTCCAGTGTCCCACCACCAATCCACATCAACCCCACGGGCTAGAAGATTTTTATTATGGAGGGTGAAGCTCCAAGAGCAGGAAAATTTGGAAATTTGGGTGAATCCGTGTGGTTTTTCTGAGCTCTCCAGGATGGGATTTCCAGGATGGAGTTTCCAGGCTGTTTTCTGACCCAAAGGCCCTGGAAATCAAGAGTGATTTTAAAAATCCCCCAATTCCTTTTTCCATCTGCTCTCTGGTCATAAGAGCTGCATGAGCTGATCCTAGTCCAGGATATCCAAAATTCCATGTTTGCTGATTCTCCTGGAGCTCCTCTCTGCATGGGGAGACTTCAATTTCTTGGTAAATGTTATTTTGGCCCTATTTTTTTGTGGTTTTGACCATGTTTTATCTTACAGGACCTTTCTGCCTCTTGGTCAAGGTGGAGAAGACGAGCATGGAAAGATCCAGCTCCGTGGATTTCAGGAAAGAAGGAAGAAGCACCAGGCTCTTGCTGATGGAGCACAGATCCCATCTCAGCACACGTCACCAGAGGGGGAGGCGATCCTGGCTCCGGAGTCATGAGTTTCCCACATCCACTGAACGTGGGTGGAAAAAAGATCTTCTGCAGCAGAATGATTTTACTGTGGGTGGCTTCCAAAACCTGGCACAGGAGGGCTGGTGGAAGAGGAAACTCCTTAAATTCCAAAATTATGCCCCCCAAAAAAAAGCTGGATGCTGTTTTAACCCTGACTTGGTAGACGGGATAAAAAACGCTCCCACCACCTTCCATAAATAAATCCTATTTTGAAAGTCCTGGGCTTGGTTTTTTTTCCCATTTACAGGGGTTTAAACCCACCTTTCTCCTGTGGGATGTGTGTTCCCATAATCCAGCCCCAAACCCATGGATTTGGTCATCCTCCCAGGATGGTGGGGAGGTGGTGTCCCAGTCCCAAGGGAAAATAGGGAGTCCCATGCCAAGGATTTGCTGCTTTCCAGCCTAAATTTCCATTGATGAACTTTTCCAAAAAAAAGGGATTAGAAACCCGTTATGGAACAAAAAAAGCAGTTTAAAACCTGCTGTGTGTGAAGCAAAAATTACTTTCTTGACCAATTCCTTTTTTTTTTCCCAGGGGAAAAGCCCTCAGGGGATCCAACCTGAGCCCCACCCTTCCCTTCCCGTGTGACTTCCATGAAGTGACAAAGCCACCATCTCCCATTGCATCCCCCTGGAGATGGAGACCACGGCTCACCAAATTCAATTTGGATGCTCAGTTTTCCTTGGAGCAGCCTATCCTGGATCCAAAGGGTCTCTCCCAACCTCAACAGCTCCAGATTTGTGTAAAAATGACCCAAAATCGACACTTTAGGAGGATCAGCCAGGGCTTGTTTCCCATCGTGGGTGGTGCACCCTTAATTCCCAACAAAAGTGCTACAAACTGGATTTGAATCAGTGCTTTTTAATCCATAAAAGGTGAGAATCCATGTACAAATTAAAAAAAAAACAAAAACAAAACAAACCCAACATAAAACCCTGGAATTAGGAAAATTATCCCAATCCCACAAAACACAACCCCTTTGCCAACGCTGGGGTTGGGTGATGCGGGCGGAACGCGACGGCTTCTCCCAAATAAATCCCTCTCCAGCTCGGAGACGTCCGCGGTGGCATCCCACATTTTTAGGATGGTGGGAAGACGCTGCCAGGATGTTTTAAGGGCAAGGTGGCCTTTCCAGTGACCCCCACCCCCTCCTTCCCTTCCCGCTCCCACGCCAAGCAGCTGGGAAGATGACGTGGGAAGCCTGGCTGCTACAGATGGCCCCGTGCTGGAAGGTGGATCCGGAATCCAGTGTGGTGATGCCTCAGGCTTTGGAGAGGCCTCTTGGCCAACAGCAGAGCTATAAACCCCTCCCTGAGCTCATAAAACCCCAGGATGGGTTGGCTTGGATGGGATTCTGAAAGCCCATCCTGTTCCACCCCCTGCCATGGGACAACTTCCACTATCACAGGTTGCTCCACCCCTGTCCAACCTGGCTTTTGTCCTGGAAGTTTTCCTTAAATAAAATCAGGGTTAAGAGCTTGGAAAATGGACAAGGAGCCACTAGAAGAAGTCACAATCCCAGGGGACACTCTGGCCACAAGATCCCACTGCTCCTTTAAACCACCCTTAAAAATTTCCTTATGAAGTACAAAAATACAATCCATTCCCTCCCAAGGGAATTTTCTACCTCCCAGGATCATCCAAGCCCTGAAGACCAGACAGCTCCTCAGCCTTCAGAAAAAATAATGCACCAGGCAGAAACAGGATGGAGGAAATTTTGCCAATCTGTTTTGTGGATCTGGAGTCTCCCAGCGTTTCCAGGACAATTACCAAGATGCCTGGATCCATCAGGCCAGCCCAGGAATGCTGACAGCAGTGTTAGGGAATTAGCAACATGTGCAAGATCCAACGGTAGCACAAATTTAGGAGTTTAATAATCTGGAGGAGATATCTTCCTGGAATTTTAATCTCCTCCCAGGAAAAATAAACTCCCCCCCCCCCAAGGCTCTTAGCTATTAATCTCCTCACAGAATATTTAGGGCAATCCACATCTCCTGATTATAAAAGCCAGACAACAACTGCACGTTAAGTCCTTCCCTTTTCTTCCAAAGAATCCGGCTGGGCAGCCTGGCTGGATTTTCTGAGCCGAGCTGGGGGTTCATTCCCAAAAAAAAAAAACCACCCCAAAAGCACTAAAAATGGTCAAACCATCCTATTTTGTTGGGATAGTCCCAGCTGGGAGATGCTGCCTGGGTTGGACCCTGTGATGGGATCACCACAAATCATCGATGCCCGGTGCTGTCCCCTCTCTCAAAAAAAGGGGAGTCTGGAAGGATTCAGCTGAAGGATTCAGCTCCTCTAGCAGCTCTTGGAGAGCAGTTCCATCTTGTACCTTGCAGAGAAAGCCCAGGAGATGCTACAGAAGGTGACACTTTTGCTTTAATGGCTGGGGCTGGCTTTGGCCAAGCAGAAGACACAAACCAGGCCCTGCTTTAGCACAGCTCCCCCCGACCCCCTTGAGAGCAAAAAAAAAAAATAATCCCGAAATTAACAATAAACCCGAGTTTCCCACCACACTGAGGGGATCGTTGGACGCAGGAGCTGGGAGGTGGAGGAGCCTCGCTCACCTCTCGGCGCGGATCCGACCAGTGGCGCATTCCCGGGGCTGGGAGTCCTCACAGCCCAGCCAGGCTTGGGAAGCTTCCTGGGCAGCCAGTCCTGGAGCTCAGGGAACACCACGGAGCATGGTCAGTACATGGCCTCGTTGTCCCCCACGGTGGTGAAGGGGACGCCACTGTAGGTGCTCTTCTTGCTCCTCTTGCTCTTCTTGCTCCACACCAGGAGCGTGCTGGCGCTCTTGCTGTTCATCAGGCTCTTCCTGCTGTTCTCCTTGTTGCTCTTCAGCACGCCGGATCCCGAGGACATCACTGCTGCCTTCCTGTCCACCTGCTTGGGAAAGGCGGAGAGGGGAGTGAAGCCAGGGCAGCACCCAGAGCTCCAAGGAGTTCTGTGGTTTCCCGTGGGATGGGACTTACGGCTTTGGGACATTCTGAGCCCTGCAGGGTGATGACTCCAATGTCCACCCCCTCCTTCCCGGTGCTCTTCAGCAGCTGGACAACCTCAGCGTGCTTGGACCACTTGCAGTCCTTGCCATTCACGGAGATGATGTAGTCCCCCTCCTTCAGCCCGGCTTCCTGCAGGGAATGAGGGAAAATGTGCATGGGTCATCAGAGAATCTTGGAATGCTTTGGAAGGGACCTTCAAGATCATCCAATCCCACCAGGGACACCTTCCACTATCCCATGTTGCTCCTTGGACAATTCCAGGGATGGAGCAGCCACAGCTTCTCTGGGCAACCTCTGTCAGGGCCTCACCACCCTCACAGGGAAGAATTTCTTCCCAAGACCCATCTAACCCTGCCCTCTGGCATTAGGAAGCCATTCCCCCTCATCCTGGCACTCCATCCCTTGCCACAAGTCCCTCTCCAGCTCTCCTGGACCCCTTTAGGCACTGGATGGGGCTCCGAGCTCTCCCTGGAGCCTTCTCTTCTCCAGGCTGAGGAGAAGACACAACTCTGCTCCAGGTATCTGGTCCACATCCCAATCTTTGGGGGAGATCCCAAAGAGGGATGTGATCCTGCTGCTAAGGAGAGTGCTGTTCCAGAGATGCTGGGATCTGGATGGATGGGTTTGGTGAAGAATGGCCACAGCTCCTTGGAAGGCCTGCACAATCCTGACTTTGAGTTAGCATGAGTCCTTGGCACAATATTGTACCCAAGATATGAAAAAAACTAAGTGTTAATAAGACAATGAAGAATAGATGAGAATTTAGGATGAGAAATCTGCAAAATGTATCTTGTGAAGTTTGTCAGGATGTGAATTCTGCAGAATGTATCTTATATAACCGCTTCATGTATCTTATAAGTTCCACTAAAAAGTATCTTTATAGAGCTCGGGTGTTATGAGCTGGACCAATAGAAATGTAGAAGTTAATGCGTGAAAAGCAGCAATTATCCAATCATAATAAAATACAGATTGCATGTTACCTTTCCAAAATACTATAAAAATGTAGCTGAAACTGTAATAAAATGGAACAAGCAGCTAACTCATACTGAGTGGTCCCTTGATTCCCAAACCCGTCTCCTACATGGGTTGGTACTGAGGGAGTGGGGAGACCCTTAGGGCACCCCACCAGGGATCCCCAGCATCTTCTGATGGAAAACAAAGCTGCCTCTGCTTTTTGGATGTGACATCTTGTTCCAGCCACTGTCACATCCCAATATGAGGGACAAGGGAGCTGGATGGGCTTCCAGCAGTTAAAAACTGAGCAAAATTCCATGTTTTTCTCCTTAGCTATCTCCTAAAAATTAATCATTTCATGACGCCCACCTGCAAACCCCAGCCTGAGCTCCAGCAGGGATGAGTCTCCTCCTGAACTGTTTTAAGACCTAAAAACACCTGGAATCCCTCCAGGCAGCTCCCTTCTGGCATTCCCATGGGAACAGCAAGAAATTGGGATACTCACAGCAGCGCAGCCCCCCGGGATCACCCCGGCAATGAGGACGGGGGAGTCTCCTCGCAGGGTGAATCCAAAGCCGTTCTCTCCTCTCATCAGGTGGACTCTCCGAGCTGGATACCACTTGTTCTTGGCTGAGAACACGGAGAGGGGGCCCTGGGATAAGGCAGAAACATAGAAAGCACCTTTTCAACTCCCTGGAATTGTGCAGCCATGTAAAAAGCCCAGTTCCAGGGATGGGGAGGGGGCAGAGGAAGAAATCCTGTCTTTTGCAGGGAAAACAATCCCAGCATCCAAGAAGAAATGATGGAGGTTGAGGCTGTCCAGATCTGGGGGGTGCCACCAGGGGTTGGTCCAAGAGCAGGGTGGTGGGACAGGTCACCACTTCAGGGTCCCTTTTCCCCAATTCTTTCCTCTTTTTCCCACTTTTCCATCCCCACAGGAGCAGGATGTTCCTGCCTGCCCTGGGGCTGAGATGCACAAGCTCTCCCTGGGGTACTCAGGGGCTGACCCCACCTCAGATCCCACCACCATCCTGAATCCCAGTCTGGGCTCCCCAGGAACCCAAAAACTTAAAGAGGGCAGGGATAAAGCTCCAGTGGGATTTTTCTGGTGCCTCCTGACACCAAAACCTTTCTTCCCAAGGGTCCTGTGGGAAAAGCCCACCCAAAAGCCCTGTGCCTTATCCCCTGTCGCCGGAGGAGCTTTGTGACCCATTTAGGTGTCAGAGACAGATCCCAGCCCTCCTCCTGCTGCTCCTCCTTGGAAAACCGCTGGAGAGAGGGAGAGGAGGCTATGGGAGGAAGGAATCCAGGCAAGCAGAGCATGCAGGGGAGGAGCAGGAGACGGCTGCTCTCTTGGGATATTCCCATTCCTGGAGCTGTACGTACCAGCCTGTGGAAGAGGTCGGTCACCTTCACCTGGGAGAAGTTGGGGGATTTGATTTCGGGTTTCTGGTGCGTTTTGGCTGATGAGAGGGAGAGAAAAGCACAGACAGGGGGTGTAACCTCAGGCAGCTGGGGCAGCTGCTGCCATCCCAAAGATGAACTGTGACCCCTTAAGAGCCAGGACCTAAAATCCTGGAATAGTTTGGATTGGAACTCAGAGATCATCCAGTCCAACCCCCCTCCACAGCAGAACTCCCTGTGGAGTCTTCCCACCCACAAACCCCCTCCCCACCCCACAATCCCAAAAAAAACCCCCACTCACGATGGATGTCTGGAGCCTCTCCCGTCTCAAAGAAATCCTCCTCGTGGTCGATCTCGGAATATTTGCTCAGGGAGCGTTTGTGGGCAAAAGACAGGACCTCCTGCAGGATATCCATCTTCCTTAGGATCTTGCACAATCCATGGATCCTCATGGCTTCCTCGTGCTTCATGATGGCTTTTTTGAGGTGAGCTTTGCCTGTGAGGGAGCAGAGGGAGCTGAGCCCGACGGAGCAGCAGCTCCGGCGACGTTCCCGCTCGGCTGCCCACGGATTTCAGGAGCGGTGCCACCACCCCGCTGTGACTCAGGGACAGCCCAGTCACGTTCCCAGCCCTAAATGGGGTCGGTCCCAGCCGATGGAGGGCTGGGAAGGGACCTTGAAGGGTGACCTACTTCGCTCCCCTGACGCCGGAGCTGGCAGATGTTCCTGAAAAACCACCCCCGACGTCCCTCCTCACGCTTAACCTCAATCTCCTGAGCAAATTAACTTCTCTCCATCGCCTCGGATCCCTCGGGAACGGGAACACGGAGAACAACCCAGCCCTGTCCTCCTTGGGAAGGTGCAACACAACCCTGTTTTCTAGGCTAAGCTTTTCCTTGTCCTGCAGGTCCTGCTCTCCATCCTCTGCTCTCTGCTCCCTCTCCAACGTGTTCCCACCCCCGGGAAATGGAAGTGGTCGGGAAAGAGGAGCTGAAATTCCAGTGACCCACGGATATCAATGCAAAGCATCTCCTCCGTGGGAAACCGCAACCAAGGCAGCCGTATCCAAGGCTAAACTCCCAGAAAAGCTCTCTCCGCGTGTCTCATGGAAACACGTGTGCCTGTGGCATTTCACGTTCAGGACACACGGTGGCAACAGAATCCAGGGAGATGAGGTCTGCTCCACACTCCCGGAATCCACAGCCAGAGGAATGTTTCGGGGTTGGATGGAAAGAAGAGAGGAGACTCCCCCCTCTGAGAATTTTTATCAAATCTATAAAATGTGGAATGGTGGGGAATATTAATAATAATAATAATTAATAATAATAGAACCATGGAATGGTTTGGGTTGGAAAGGACCTTAAAACTAATCTCATTCCAACCCCATTCCAAAGGGGAACACCTTCCACTATCTCAGGTTGCTCCAAGCCCTGTCCAACCTGATTTTGGATATCTCCAGGAATGGAGATCCACAACATCTCAGAGTTTTTCTGTTCCTGTAAACCAAATCCAAGCAGAACTTGGTTTCTGCACATCTATTTTTCACCAGGAATGTTGAACAGAGCCTGTTTCCCCCAGGAAAATCAGGCAGAGTTGGAAAAGCTGATGTGAACCACACCTGAGGGTGTTGGTGTGGTGTCACCATAAAACACTTGGATTTTGGGGTTTATTTGGAGGTTTCAAGTGAAATCTGGCTGAGCATCCTGAAGGACCTTGCTGAGGCCAAACTCATTCCTGGTGGGATTTGCCTCCTTCCACACGTGTGCAAGGAGGGAAAAGAGCTCCTGGGGGAGGCAACACCCCAAATTCCAAGTGCTGAGTTTGCTCTTGATGCAGCCCCTTTGAGGACGGGCTGCCAAAACAGGACTTGAGCTGACTAAGCACTGCCTGTTCTTTCCCTGGAGCTGAAATTCCGCATGGGAAGAAGTTCTTGTCTCCCAAGAATTCGCTGCATCTGAAAAAGCCACCCCCTGAGCATCTGCTGCGTCTTGTTTTCCAGCCAAGTCAGCCCAAACCAAGGAGCTTCCAAGAGCTCCGTGTCCCTATGGATTTCTCTGTAGCACTGGGTGATGTTACCTGGCTCAGAACACCTGGAATTTTTCCTGTCAGAGCTGGACAGGTTGGGGCAAGCACCACGAGTTGGTCCTCACACCCTCAAGGGGACTGTGATGCCTTCCTGCTTCTCAGGAGAAATTTCCTGAGAAATTCCTCTTTGCGTGGAGAGACCCCCCTAAAATCTCATCGTTTGTGGGAATCGTGAAGGGATCCAGAAATTTGTGCTCACCCAGCTTCCTCCGCTCCTCGGGATCCTGCAGCAGGACACGAAGTGATGGCCCCTCTGGCATGGTGACGTGGAATTGCAGGAAAGCCTTCTCCTGCTCCAGCAGCTCGGCATCCGAGGGAGCTGCGGGAAGGAAATGGATGGGGATGGGATTAGGGAGAGGGCAGGGCCACCCAGCCCCCCGTGGCAGTGGGGACACGGGAACCAGGATGCCACATCCACATTCAGGTGGCCCTGGCAGCACCTTCCTGTCATCCAACCACAGCCTGCAAGGAATCATGGATGGGCACAGGGATGATCCCAGTCAGGGATGCACCAGGATCTGGGTTAAGGGCAGGATTTGTCCTGAACACGTCCCTTTTTTTCTTCTTTCCTGCCTTCCTTTGCTCCAATGAGGAAGCAGGATCGGGAACAGAGAGCCCTGGGATTTCCCCACCTGGAGGATATGAAGACAAATGAGACAACAAAATCAGGCAATCATGGAATGGTTTGGGTTGGATAGGACCTTCAACACCATCCAATTCCAGCCCCTTTCCATGGACAGGGACACTTCCATGTGGCTGTGCCATCCATCCTGGTCCAGGACACCTCCAGGGATGGGGCAGCCACAGCTTCACTGGGAATTCCATTCCAGGGCCTCACCACCTTCACAGGGAAAAATTTCTTCCCAATATCCCATCTATCCCTGCCCTCTGGCAGTGGGAAGCCATTCCCTGTGTCCTTTCCCTCCATCCCTTATCCAAAGTCCCTCTCCTGCTCTCCTGGAGCTCCTTTAGGCACCGGAAGGAGCTCTGAGGTCTCCCTGGAGCCTTTTCTCCAGCCCACAGCGCAACCAAGGAAAAACAGAGCATTCCATGGAAAAACAGATGGATCCAGCTCTCCCAGGCTCTCCAAACCCCACACTAGGCTCTTTAAACCCTTTTTTTTAGCCCAAATTGTTCCTAATTCTCTTTGGCTCACTCAGGGTTGCACAGCACCCTCTTTCCCTGGACACAGAGTGGGATAAGAAAAGCCCCAGAATATTCCAGGGAGTTTTGCTGCTCCAAACAGAGGATCCCAAAGCCTGGTGAGCACAGGGATCCAGAGGGCTGGGAACTGGCAGCTCCAGGGCTGGCTCCCCCTGTGCCAGCTCCTGCCATGTCAGCATCCCTGAGGGATTGAACTGCAGCATAAGGAATTTATTCCCAGCTGGTTATGGAAGCAAAATATTTGTTATTCCAACAAGAGAGAGGTGGCAGCAGGAACAGGAGATCCCAACAGCGGGCAAAAAAATTCCCAAAGTAGGCATCTCCTGCAGTTTTCTGCTTCCCACAGTGCCTGAGGACACCAAAAATTTTAGGGAGGTTTGCCCTGCCCCTTGGAACCCCATGGAATCCCATCTCCATCATCATCCTCTCCTGTCTGGACCTTTAAGCCCTTCCAGCTCCACATTATCCCCCCTCTCTCCCATCTCCTTGCTCAATCCAGCTTCTGCAACGCCCACACGGCACAAGGAAGATTTTGGGCAGGCTCTGGAGCAGGGGAGGGTGTGAGGACAGTCTGGCAGCCACTGGTGTCACTGTCTCAGCACCGGTTTTGGCAGCCAGCCCTCAAAAAGCTTCTCAGCCACCCACCAGGTGACACCAAAGGTCACCAGGGGCATCTGCTGCCTACCCCCGGATCCTCTGCTCCATCCCAAAATTGCTCCCAGGGTGTCGGTGGTGGCACAGATGGTCACATCAAGGGTCACATCTTGAAGTCACGCTCCAAGTGACTCCACGGAACCACATGTACCTTGCTGCCACCACCCTGAGATTCCTGGGACATCCATCCACGAGGCTGGAAAGTTAAATCCAATTTTTGGGTTTATTTTTGAAGCCCTTGGCTGGCCCAACTGAAAAAGTGACCCAAAGGATCACTTTGTAGTGATGTAGTGATGTAGGGCTGAGGTCAGCAGGCAGGTGACCCTTACCTCCCCACCCAACCCCAAAGGGGACAGCAGGTGACATCCCTCCAGCAGCTTTTTCCTCCCCTTCTTTGGATTTTTCCCTGTGGAAACCAGAAATATGGGAAAATCTGCCTTGGGGATGAACTGCTGAGTCCATAAAGAAGATCCATACCTCAGATCATTCCAAAAACTTCGGGTGTTGTATCCATAACCTCTTTTTTTGGGAATCCATCCCCAAAACCCAGGAATAATGTGGAATTAGTACTTGAATGAGCAGGAAGCTCTGCACACTCACCGGAGCAGTCACAGAGGGCGATGGCAGCGAAATAATGGGAGAGGGCTTTGAAATGCTCCGACTTGACGTGGACCATGGTGGTCCAGGAGAAGGGAACGTAATCCTTGACGTGGGGCTGGTTCATGGTCTGGTGCACCAGGGAATAAGCATCTTCCACCTGGGAAGAGATGGGATGTCACTCAGGAGATGGTGACAGCAGGCTGTGCTCTCCTGGAAGGTTTTGCCGACCGCAAAATCCCACCAAATCCTCTCCTTCCCAAAATCCTCACCCTTGCTGCCTCCTGAGCCAGCTGCAGGCGGGCCAGGAAGTCATTCTGGGCACGCAGCAAGGTCATCTTCTCAAAGACACACTCCTGGACCTGGGCCACCATCAGCCTCACCAGCATGGTCAGGGAGGCTGCGCTCATGTCCAGGCTGGGAGCATTGGAGAAGTTTTCCTTCAAGTAGTTAAAGGCACCTGGAGGAGGGAAAAGCTCCTGGAAGTTACCAGGCTTGTGAGGAAGAGAATCAGGCAGGTTTCCCTCCAAGAACATCGAACATCTCACCATCAGTGGTGGGTAAGAAGATCTGAGGTCCAACCCTTGCCATCTAAACCATCCTTGTGCCCAATTTCTTCTCCAAAGCCCTGAGTGCTCCCAGTTCCAGGTTCTGTTTTTCCCATGGGGAGATGGATCAGCATCTCTCCTCTCCACAGCTGGGACATCCTTTTGGGTGGCTGCTGGATCATCCCAACTCCCCAACCCACACAACCAACGTGGAGCCACCTCGTGCTCCATTTGTGATCCTACGGCTGCTCCCACCCCTTCCTGCACTTCTGTGGACTATTCCCACCTCTGGGAAAAGCTTCCTGGGAAGGGGAGGAAGAGGGGAAGCCACTTACCAGCTGCCTTCTGGAAGGCATCGATGGCCTGGTTGAGGCCGGGCAGGGAGGCGCGGTCCTGCCGCGCTCCGATCTGGGTGTGCAGTGCTCCCAGGTTGAAGAGGACACTTCCCTTCTCGAAGGCCAGAGCCCTCTGGTGGGATGGGACCCCCGTCAGGGAGTCATACCTGGAGAAGGGAAGAGCTGACAGCTGCCCATCCCCCGGTCACGGACCCCCAAAGTGTCCCTGTCATGGGCCGCAAAAATTGTCCTCACTCATGGGAAGGGGGTTGGAATGGGATGATCCTGAAGGTCCTTTCCAACCTAAACCTCTCCATGGATGCAGGAGGAGCCTGAAGGGTTTTCGGTGCTCAGGTGGGGTCGCAGGCAGCATTCCCATCATGGTACATCCCATGGGATTTGTGTTTCCCTCTCCCTCCCCAAACTAACCCACCCGAGGCAATGGCAAATCCAGGTCCTGGTGTCCACCAGTCCCCGCAGAGATTCCATTGTGGAAATTTGGATCCTGACTCCCTCCCCACCCAGGTGGGATAGGGAAAGCTGCACCCACCAGTGGAAGAAGATTCCCAAGGTTTTGGTGGGAGGGAAGAACCGGCTGTCGAGGAAGTAGAGCTGGTTGTAATATTCCATCAGGAGCTCCAATCCGGCCTCGTTGCGGCTCGGGGTGCGCATGGCCTGCCGGAATGGGAGAGGAGACAGGGATGGGAAAAGAGGAGGAAGCTCCCTGGGACAGGCTGAGAGCCCTCAAAGAATGACTGAGAGCTGGGAATGTTCACCTGGAGAAGGGAAGGCTCCAGGGAAACCTCAGAACCCCTTCCTGTCCCTAAAGGGGCTCCAGGAGAGCTGGAGAGGAACTTGGGACAAGGGATGGAGGGACAGGACACAGGAAACTGCTTCCCACTGCCAGAGGGCAGGGATAGATGGGATATTGGGAAGGAAATCTTCCCTGTATGGGTGGTGAGGGCCTGGAATGGAATTCCCAGTGAAGCTGTGGCTGCTCCATCCCTGGAAGTGTCCAATGCCAGGTTGGATGGGACTTGGAGCAACCTGGGACAGTGGAAGGTGTCCCTGCCCATGGAAGGGGATGGAATTGGATGATCTTTAAGAGCCTTTCCAACCCAAACCATTCCACGATTCTGAGGTTCATCCACGGGGAAAGTTTGGGTGCTGGGACACCCAAATGTAGAAGCAGCAGCCCAGGAATTGTGCTGGAAAAACTCATGGAAATTCTGATTTTATAAATCCTAGGGAATAAACAGGATTTTTTCCCCCTCCTTTCCCAGACTACTTTAACTTCCCTCTTCTCCAAGGCCTGCCTGGAGAGAGAGAAGTTGTTCAGCCTTGCCAGGGGTGAATTAATATTCATAAACAATGATTGCAGTATAAACTTTATTGCTGCTCTTTTGTAGGTCAGCAGGACACTGAGGACAGGGAAAACGAACAATTCCTGAATAATCTGTAATATTTTGGAACCTAAAAACCAAGTCCAAGGTGCTCCGGCATGGGAATGTTGCACCCTGAAATACAAGGATAAATATGGAATTTGGAGAAAGGATGAGGGAACCCCCACAAAGGAAATGTGGCATCTCCAAGGAGTGATCCTGGACAAGCCAAACTTTGGAAGCCAAGGGACACCAAACCTGTCGCAGCTCCATGAACTCCTTGATTTCCTTTTCAAACAGGACGCCCTCCTCTCCGTAGTGTTCACTGATGAAATCCTGGATTGGGAAACAGGAGAAAATCCCCATTTTTATGAATTAAAGGGATGTTTCTGGCAATTCTGTGCAAGAAGTTTCCACTTTTGCCCACAAGGAAGACTCCACTAAGTGATGATCTCCTCCCTTTCCTGCTCTCCAGCATCTCCAGACCTTCATCTCCTACCTTCCCATGTTTTAAGTTCAGTTTCTCTCCATGAATTTATTTTTTGTCAACTTTTCCAAACCAGAAAATGAATTTCAGCTGCTTCAGCATCCATCAGTGAAACCCCAAAGCTCACCTTGAGTGGTACCAGCAAATCCAGCTCCTTGGTCTCCTTCAGTCCCAGAGGGATCATGGGAACGCTGATGGATTCACTGGAAGAAGACAAGAACCTGTTTGGTGGTTGGATTAAAAATCTTGGATGGATCCTGCGGGTCGGAGATTAAAAGGAAGCAGCTCCTTGCCCTGGGCTTGTGCCATCAAGAGACTCCACATGAAAAAATGCTCTTCCCAGAAAGATTTGGGAATGGCAACGTAAGAGGAGAGGTACAAAAAAAACCCAAATAATTTTATTTTTCCAGCTCCTGCTTTTCAGAGGAATCCTGGATGTTGGGTGGGCAAGGCAGGATCAAGCCCTCACCAACACAATAGCCCCCTCTCATTATCCCCCCAAACTGCTGATAACTTGTTAATTAATCACTAATTGGGAAGGAAAACAGGCAAAGGAAGTTATGAAAACAAGGAGAGCAAGGCAGGGAATTTACACCCACATTTTCCTTGGAACAAACAGCTCCAGGAGCTATAATTAGTGCAGAAAGCCATTACTGCTCATTCCCTAATGAGAGTTCCACTGGAATCCAAAGCCTGGAATAAACAAAGAGGCTTTTGTTTGGCCTGGGCATGGTTTTGGGTTGTCGTTGCTGCTCCTGATTTCTTTTCAAACCAGGGCAAGCAAGTGGCAAATTGGGAAAACTGAGCATCCCTGATAGGGAATTGTGCCTGGAAAAGCACATGGATAGACACAGAAATGTGGAATCGTGGAATGGTTTGGGTTGGAAGGGGCTTTAAAGATCATCCATTTTCACCCACTGACATGGGCTGGGACACCTTATCCAGGACCAGGCTGCTCCAAACCCCATCCAACCTGGCCTTGGACACTTCCAGGGATACAGGGGCAGCCACAGCTTCTCTAGGAATTCCAGGCCCTCACAACCCATACAGGGAACAATTCCTTCCCAATATCCCACCTATCCCTGCCCTCTGGCAGTGGGAAGCCATTCCCTGTGTCCTATCCCTCCATCCCTTGTCCCAAGTCCCTCTCCAGCTCTCCTGGAGCCCCTTCAGGCACTGGAAGGGGCTCTGAGGTTTCTCTGGATTCTTCCCTTCTCCAGGCTGGACATTCCCAGCTCTCCCAGCCTGGTTCCAGAGCAGAGGAGCTCCAGCCCTTGGAGCATCTCCATGGTCTCCTCTGGATCTGCTCCAGCAGTTCCACATCCTTCTGCTGTGGGAGCCCAGAGCTGGATGCAGAATTCCAGCTGGGATCTCACCTGAGCAGGGCAGAGGCACAGAATTCCCATTTTCCTGCTGCCTATGCTGTGCAATGAGCCTGGGACAGGGGAGATTTCTGGGATGTGACTGCACACGAATGAGGCATTTCCAGCTTTTCATCCACCAACGCTCCCAAATCCTTTCTCCTCAGGGCTGCTCTCCATCCCTTCACCCCCAGCCTGGATTTGTGCTTGGAATTGCCCTGGCCCAGGTGCAGGATGTTGCACTTGGCTTTGCTGAACTGAGTGACTTTCATCTGGAGCTGATCCAGATCCCTCTGGATCCCATCCCATCCCTCAGCCATGTTACCCACACAACACCTCATGTTGCCATCCAACACCATCCACCTCCAGAAAGGAAAAGGAGGGGAAAAAAATTCCCAGTATCCCAGAATTGTTTAGGCTGGAAAAGCCCTCCAAAATCGTTGAGTTCAAGCTGTGACTGATCCCACCCAGCCCAGAGAACCGAGTGCCACATCCAGTCATTCCAGGGACACTTCCAGGCATGGTGATTCCCGTCAACATGCTGTTGGGAAGAGCTCTGGTGGGATTGTCGGGAAAGGGGGAAGGTCCAAGGGAAAATGGTTCTTTCTTCCTTATTTCTCCTGCTTTGGGACATCAGTGTCCAAAGGATGCTCCATCTATCCCAGAACATCCCAGTATCCCCTAGGAAAAGCTGATTTTTCTCTCCCTGCAGCTCTAGAAGGGAACTACTGACATTCCCAGGATGAAAATTTTCCAGGAATTCTGGCCCATGCCCAAAATTCTCCTCTATCGTCCAGCCACCACCTCCTGGCCCCTGACCATGGAAAGGTTTGGGTTGGAAGGGAACCTCTGAAGGTCACCCCAGCCATGGGACAGAGCAGGGCAGACAAGGCGAGGGCAGCCTTGCTCCCAGAAAAATTCCACAACAGTGGGAAAAATGAAATCCCAAGGGAACAGGCTGCTCTCCCCACACCCACCTGTCGTTCTGATACACGTCCATGCTGCTGTTGAGCTCCTCCAGCTCTTCCTTCAGGAGCTGAAGGTTGGAGTTTACGTAGCTCAGCTCCAGAGCCACCGTTTCCTTCACCTTGTGGTTGCTGGTGGCCCTGAAAGAAACCAATGGATCAAATTTCCCACTTTTTATCCATGAATTTATTTTTTCCTCTCCAGACTCAGTTATCCAGTGGTGCAATCCATGTGCATCGAGCCCACCCTTCCCACAGGATTGCTCCAAGCCTCATCCAAACTGGACCTGGACACTTCCAGGAATGGGACAGCAACAGCTTCTCTGGGAATTCTGTTCCAGGGCATCACCACCCTCACAGGGATGAATTTCTTCCCAATATCCCATCTATCCCTGCCCTCTGGCAGTGGGAAGCCATTCCCTGTGTCCTGTCCCTCCATCCCTTGTCCCAAGTCCCTCTCCAGTTCTCCTGGAGCCCCTTTAGGCACCAGAAGGAGCTCTGAGGTCTCCCTGGATCCTTCCCTTTTCCAGGCTGGACATTCCCAGCTCTCCCAGCCTTTCAGGATTAGAGAAGTCTGAACATCCAGAGAGAGGGTGAGCCCAGGCAAAACTGCAGTGCTGCATCCAGGAATTCCTCATCCAGAGCCACCTTTCCCTTGCCCATTCCCACTTCACCTCCAGTGCAGCTTCAGCTTGGCTGTGACCAATCCAGGCGCTCCCCCATCCCAAACAAACGGTGGGATTTGAGGAGGAAAAGCCTCATTTTGGGGTGCAAAGAATCCTCATGGAAAAAGAAAGGATTTGTGAGCTCCTGCCCTCCCTTCCCTGCTCCCGGCAGGAGCTGTAAACACCAGGGATTGATTCCAGCTGTTCCCAGCAGGACAAGCTCCCAGGCTGATTATTCCCTGCTTATCTCCTGCAAAGGAAAGCAGGGAGAGATAACCCAGAGCTGAAAGGGGCTCTGGCTGCTGAACCACGCTGGGATCCAGGGAAAACAGCACATGGAAAAGCTCTGCTCCACCAGGAAACTGCTCCCCTCAAGCTTTTCCAGAGTATTGACTTTGACATGGATTTTTTTTATGGATTGAATCCTTCTGGGTCCTGCCATGCCCTGGTTCAGGGCAGCAGAAGGAGCTCCAGGGTTTTCCTTTGAAATTCTGGTGGTTCAGAGTCTCCTCCTGCCTCCCCTTTGCCAGGATTTTCCAAGAGCAAAGAATTTTTTGATTCCAAACAAACCAAGCCAAACCACAGCACATCCAAAGATCCCCATGGCTGCTTCCACTGAAAAATCCTTCAGCATTCCTGCAATTCCCCAGGCAGCATCACCCTGTGTTTCCATATAAACCAGTATTTAATCCCTATAAACCAGGATTTAATTCCTATTTATCCCCCGCACATCCCAACACCTCCAGGACACTATCAGTATGATTTTCATTCCCATATGGATTAAGGAGAGTTTTCCTTCCTTGTTCCCAGCCTCCAACAATTTCTTTGGCTCTCAGCAGGCCCCTGATTATTTTCCAGGTGTCTCAGCACAGTTTCCAGGAGGATCTGCTCCATGATTTTGCCAGGAATCTGTTACCTAGGAAAGGTTTTCCTGGGATACTTGCAAGTGCCAGACGCAGCACATAATCCTGGAATGTGTTGGGTTGGAAAGGACCTTCAAAATCATGGAATTCCACCACTCTGCCATGGCCAGGGAGACCTTCCATTATCCCAGGGCACTCCAAGCCCTGCCAACCTGCCCTTGGACATTTCCAGGGATGGGGCAGCCACAGCTTCTCTGGGAATTCCATTCTAGAGCCTCATCACCCTCCCAGACAAGAATTCCTTCCCAATATCCCATCTAACCTTACCCTATTCCAGTTTAAAGTCATTCCCTATGTCCTGTCACTCCATCTCTTGTCCCAAGTCCCTCTCCAGCTCTCCTGGAGCCTCTTCAGGCACTGGAAGGGGCTCTGAGGTTTCCCTAGATTCTTCTCTTCTCCAGGCTGGACATTCCCAGCTTTCCCACCCTGGCTCCAGAGCCCTTGGATCATCTTTGTGGCCTCCTCTGGATCAGCTCCACATCCTTCTGCAGTTGGAGCCCAGAGCTGGATGCAGAATTCCAGGTGGGATTTCACCTGAGCAGGGAAAAGGGGCAGAATTCCTGCTGCCACACTATCCCCAGGACATGGGGAATTTCTGGGATTTATTTTGTGATTTATTTTGTGATTGTTTTTTCTTTCTTTCCAAAAACCTGGACATTTTTGTCTCCCCCATTCCTCCACTCAATCCCAGTGTTTGGAGAAGGAAGGGAAAGAAAAAATTGATCTTCCCATTTATTTACGCAGCAAACAAATTCACAGAGCAAACACCACATGGATTTGTCTTTTCCAACACCCCATTCCTGCCAACTTTTCCAGGAAAAGACATGGAAAGGCTGACCAGGATTATTTTTTTTCCAAGCATTGGGTTAGTTTGTTTTTAAATTTAAAGGCAAAAATCCCAGTAAATTCAGCTCCAAACTGCCCCAGGCTGGACAATCCACAGCTTTTTCCCATCAGCACCAGGCTAGAGATCCAAAGGAATTTTATCCATGCACCACAAATCTTTAATTTTGAAGCAATAACCTTTAGACTTGCAACATAATCCCCCCCCTCCTCCTCATCCTTTAATTTCAAGCTTGATTATTCCTTTTTCTACCCCCCCAGATTTCCCAAGTTTCATAAGCCTGGAGCACCGGAATGCCAAGAAATCAACTTTATTACTCAGCTGGATTTGTGGGAGGGAGGGAAGGAGGGAGGGAGGGAAGAGTGGCTGCTCCAAAGAACACCCAGAGTGCTGAGCCAGCTGAAAAAGAGCCCCCTCAGTGCGTTTCCCTGATAATTAAGATGTGTTTTGCATCCTGTTTTTCCTCACTCCCCCTTCCCACAGCTCCAATTCCAACCAGGACCAGGCTGGTTTCTGCTGAGCCAGCGCATTTCCCTCTTTTTTTTTCATTTTTTTTTTTTTTTTAAATATAACATAGGAGAGGCAGAAATTGGGATTCCTTGGCGCTTTTTTCCCCTTAATTAAATGAGACACAACAGCGTGGATGGAGCAGAGGGATCTCATCCCCCTGGAAAACACCATTTTTTTAATGGATCAACCATTATTCCATTTTTCCGGGTGCAACAGGAACACTCTGCTGTTAAATCATCCTAGTTCCAAAGCATTTGGATTATTCCAAAGAATAATTTTATTTTATCTGGGATAGAAACAATAAAAAAGGAGGTAAAATATTCCCCAAAAAATTTAATTTAAGGCAGATTTATGGATTTTTTTTATATTGATGACCTGCCTAGCCTGGAATGTGCTCCAAAATATTAAGGAAAAATGAAATAAACACGAAAGATGCTAAAAAAAGTTGTCCTTAGGATAAAACCCCTGTGGATCTGGCACTTGATGACAAGTGGTGGCCTTGGCAGTGTTGAGGGAATGGTGGATTCAATCCTGAAGGGATTTTCAACCCTATTCATGATTCTAAAGCTGGATTTCATGGAACAGTTTGAGGTGGATCCTCAGAAACCTCCAGTTCCACCCCCTGCCTTGGGCAGGGACTTTTCCTTACCCCAGGTTGCTCCAAGCCTCATCCAGACTGGACTTGGACATTTCCAGGGATCCAGGGGCAGCCACAGCTCCTCTGGGAAACCTGTGCCAGGGCCTCACCACCCTCACAGGGGAGAATTCCTTCCCAATATCCCATCTATCCCTGCCCTCTGGCAGTGGGAAGCCATTCCCTGTGTCCTGTCCCTCCATCCCTTGTCCCAAGTCCCTCTCCAACTCTCCTGAGCCCCTTTAGGGACAGGAAGGGGCTCCAAGTCTCCCCAGACCCTTCCCTTCTCCAGGCTGAACATTCCCAGCTCCCATCCTGGTTCCAGAGCAGAGGGGCTCCAACCCTTGGAACATCTGGACTCACTCCAACAGCTCCACATCCATTGGATCCACTTCCTGGGTTTTCAGGCTGGAGCTCTGCATTCCAAGCCCAACCTCAGCCAGGAATTCATTCCCATTACCCCATCTGCTCCCATCCTACTTTCTAACAACCTACCACCAGCTGAATTTTGGATATCAAGACTCTATTCCTGTCTCCAACCAAATTCCAGAGCCAGGGGGATGCTCAGGGCATCAGGACTCACCGGAAGAGGTTTTCTGCTCCCGCTCTCATCCTCATTTCCTTGTTGATCTGTTGGTTGATCCGGGCCCGGCGGTGCTGGAGTTTGCTCCGCTGGGTCTGGGCAAAGGGGTCACAGCCCTGCTGAGAGATAAAGGCAGGGTCTCATCCCAAATCCATGTTTTGGGATTCAAGGAATCCGCCAATTCCATAAATTGTGCACTTCCAGAGCCCAGAGTCACAGAATGCTTTAGGTTGGAACAGAGTTTAAAGATCATGGAATTCCATCCTTTGCCATGGGCAGGGACAGCTTCCTCTATCCCAGGTTGCTCTAGTCTGGCCTTGGACAATTCCAGGGATCCAGGGGCAGCCACAGCTTCTCTGGGAATTCCATTCCAGAGCCTCACCACCCTCCCAGGGAAGAATTCCTTCCCAATATCTCATCTAACCTTACCCTATTCCCTATTTAAAGCCATTCCTTGTGTCCTGTCACTCCATCCCTTGTCCCAAGTCCCTCTCCAGCTCTCCTGGAGCCCCTTTAGGCACTGGAAGGGGCTCTGAGGTGTTCCTGGATCCTTCTCTTCTCCAGGCTGGACATTCCCAGCTCTCCCAGCCTGGCTCCAGAGCAGAGGGGCTCCAGCCCTTGGAGCATCTCCGTGGCCTCCTCTGGATCCACTCGAGCAGCTCCACATCCTTCTGCAGTTGGAGCCCAGAGCTGGATGCAGAATTCCAGGTGGGATCTCACCTGAGTGGGGCAGAGGGGCAGAATTCCCATTTTCCTGCTGCCCACACTTCGGGATGAGCCCAGGACACTGGGAATTTCTGGGATGTGAGCAACAGGTCACATTGAGTTTCTCATCCCTCAGATCTTCCTCTGCCCTTGGAATAACCATTTTATTCCCCAATCCCACGTGCTGCCAACAGGGATTTCATTCCCTGAGCTCTTCCCAAACTCAGCCCTGAACAGGAATTCCACAACCCCTTCCCAGGCTCTGGACATGAGCCAAGATCCAGGGGGGCTGGACATGAGGTCAGTATGACCCCAAAGCTTGGGAAGAAATGTGATCCCAAGGCCATCTCCGGGATATGGAGCACAGGGAGTCAGGAGTTCACGGAGCCGCAGGAATGAGGGGCACACGGCACTAAATTGATTCCATCCTTTCCGCGGCTCCGGCTCGGAATTCCTGCCGACAAGGAAAACACATCGAATTCCCGCCTTCAGGAAATAGCAGCCACCAAATTTCCCTCTGGCTCACAGGGTTATTATGGGATGCCTCAGGGAATGGGGCTGCCACGAGGAGTGTCCCCCAATCCAGGGCCATAAAAGCTCTGCCCAGGTGGGGAAGATTCCCATTGTGCAACGGAAGACTTAGAGGCATGGAATGAGCCTCTGGAAGAACCCTGGATAAAAAAAAATCCCTGGTTGGGAAGGCACAAAGCTGGGAAGTTTAAGAGCATGGAATGTTCTGAGCCTGCAAAGCATGGGAAGATTCCAAAATCATGGAATGGTTTGGGTTGGAAGGAACCTAAGAATCATCTCATTCCAACCCCTGCCCTGGCACAGGTTTCCCAGAGAAGTTGTGGATGCCCCTGGAAGTATTCCAGGCCAGGCTGGATGGGGTTTGGAGCAACCTGGGATAGCGACAGGTGTCCCTGCCCATGGAATGAGAGGATCTTTAATGCCCCTTCCAACACAAAGCATTCCATAATTCCATGGAATGCTTGATCACCTCTCAAAAGCAGAAAATTTTGCATTTCCATGGACTTCAGCTTCCTTAAAATTAATTCCTCACATCTGAAGCCCACTGAGCGCTGCTTCCTTTGGAAAAGGGTCTGGGATTAACATTGGGATTTTCATGTAAGGGAAAGATTGGAGCTCCTAATTGGTCTCTTGGAGACTGAGGAATCAGAGTGACTCCAGCTGGTCCATAAATCTGTGGGATTAATGTTTTACAGTGATCCGTGAATTTGATGATAGGAACAAGCTGGAAGCATAAGACCCCAATTATTCTGGAAAAGCAGTGGGATTTGAGGAAAACACCCCAAAAGCTGCACAAATCTTTGGTCTGAAACACTCAGGAGCAAATAGAGGAAAGCTGGATGCAGAACTGTCACTTCTGGATTTGTCCTGGGGGGGAATCCACCCATCCTGTTTTCTTCCTAGAAAAAAAAATTAAAACCTCGGAATCAGAGAAAAAAGGGGAAAGGATAAGGAAATCGAGCCAAGAAGTAAAGAGAAGGTGCTCATTAAAATTTTAAGGTTTAATTTCAAATTGTCATCTCAGAGATGAGATGTCTGAGAGCTTGATAGATGCAGAGATAACCGTATGCAAATATATGCAAATGAGACCATTCCAGGCTCCCCCTCCGTGTCTCCAGAGCCACAGAAATCCATGCAAAGCTCAACAGGTGGGAAGTTTCTCTTCTCTGACTCCAGCTCTTCCTGCAAATTCCAACAGCCTGGAGTCCTTTCCACCCCTGGCAAAGGTTTGTTTGGAAGCAGACAGAGGATTTTAAGGGAATTTTTTTGGGAAAAGGGAGTGAAAACCACCTGGAGACACAGGGAAAAGGCCTGGGAAGTGCAGGTGGGATGATGGAAAAGTAGAAGGATTATCCAAACCCAAAATAAAGATCGTTGTCTGGAGGGAAGGCACCTGTAATGAAGGAAGGAAAGGAGTGGGATGCAAAAGACACTGGGATGGCTCCACAAGATATTCCAAGAGGGTTAAAAACTCTTCCCTGCAGGAGCCATGAAAGGATTTAGCAAATTGATTTGACTTCTTGTGCTGGGAAGGGCTAAAGCTGTTTGTGGAGCTTTTTTCCCTGGCTTCTCCATCAGATTTAATCGGATAAATTCTCAATCCCTATCCAGGCTCCTAAGCCAGCAGCAAAAAGGTGCTGGAAAACAGGAACGCCTGATATAAACCCAAAGCCTTGTGAGGTTAAGTCAGGAATTCAGGATCAAGGATTTCCTGTGATCTCCACACATTTTGTTTTCCTCAACATTTATGAGGCTGGCAAAGTGCAGGAATATGGGATTGCTGCACATCTTCCCTCAAGAGGCTCTGCCTTGATCCCAAAAAATCATCCCTGGCTTGCATGGATCAATAGAAACATCATTCCATGAGGAACAACCAATCCTCATCTGCAGGAGTTCCTGGAGCGTCACAGATATAATTCCACAAATCTTGGAGCAAGAAGGAAATTTGGCTCCAGGAAAGCATAAAGGCCATCTTTAAATCCAAATATAAATGAGGAAAATAAGGAGTCAAGCGAAGAGCATTCCACCTTCCAACAGTTCAAAGGATCCCAAAGCTTTTCCTGTCAGAGCTCCAAGTGAAAACTAAAAACCCCGGAATGAGTTTCCAGGGATTTAAATGTAACTTGCATAAAGGGGAAAAAAAAATCCCACCAAAATCCCACTGTTAGGTTCCAAAAGGGATTTTCCTCACTGAATTCTTCTTTGCTCAAGCTCCTGAGGTCACCCCTGTAAGGTCAGAAGAAAGAGGGGCTCTTTCATCTGGGCTTTGGGGTGCACCTGGGGACACCTGGAAAAGGGAATTTGGGGGTTTAAGAAGTGGCTCTGGAGATAATCAGCCCATTCCTTCCTGGTTTAAAGGTTTTAAAGGAATAACAAGCACAGAACTCTTCCATAAGTTGTGGAGGAGCCATGGAACAGCAGCTTTTGTTTGTACACAGGGAATGATGGATCAGAAATGCATGAGAATGAGTGAGGTGTGGCCAGTCCTGACGTTTATCACCTGTGACAAAGCAGGACTAGAGTCAGGAATTGGACTCTGTGATCCCCATGAGTCCATTCCTACCCATATCCTATGATTTCATTGGAAAAAGGCTCTTCAGGCCCAAAAAAGTCAGAGGAAATCCCTCTGTGTTCCACCCTCACATGCAAGTGACAATGGAACCAAAAATCCTCATCCAGGCTCTCCTCATGAGGGAAAAGAAGATTCCTTGAGATCCTTTCCAGAGGGAATCGAGACCAACAGCTCCCCTTTGAGGGACACCAAGGATTCTCCAACCTTATCTTTGCAGGGAATGTTTGGAATGACTCAAGGGCGTTTTTCACTTCCAGCCACCTCTCCCACTTCCAGAGGGCCCATCCAGGGTTATGAGTCCTTAGGGAATGTTTGCTCAGGGTGGACTTTGAACTTCCCAGCCCCAGGAGATGAAGCCTTGGGTGACTCCTGGGTGACAGCCACACCCTGAGAGTGATTTGTGACCTCAGTGACAAAAACAAGGTGGCAGCCTCCCTGTTTTCCAGCACCAGGGAGAAACTGAATCACCTGGAGGAAGAGGAGGAAGGCTGTAAGTCCAAAGGGTAATTTCATGACAATGGGATTCTTTCTGCTCCTTTGTGGCTGGAAGCAACAGAGGAAAAGCAAAACTGAACGATATTAAGTGAAACGTGGGAAGGGGAAATGGGATCCTTGGAAGTGCTGTTGAAATTTCAAGGAAGAGAGAAATGGAGATGCAGATCCAGTTCCTGAAGAACTGGCACAGATCAGGAATGTGCTGGTAAAATCCAGGCATGGATCTCTCCAGAGAAATGAGGAATGGGTTAGTAACTGGGAGTTATCCCAGCAGGATTTGCAGGAAAAGCTCCTGGAGATACTGGGAGAACCTGTCTGGATCCCAGAAGCTGCTCCACAGTTCAGCTGCCCAAGACTGGACCAAGCTGGGCCATGCCCAAGACCAGTTTTGGCCACAAAGGAGTCACCATCAGGATTTCTCCCAATGAGGGAAGCCAGGGAATGCTCAGAGAGAAACTGAGGAAGTTTAATTTGCATGGAGACTCAAGACATGTGGGAAGAAGAGTCATCAGCTGGTGCTGAGCTCAGCTCCACAGGCAACCCCACCTCCAGGGAGACCCCTTCCCATTCCCAAGGACAGGGAATGAAGGAAAGCAGGACTCCAGCAAGTCTGGATTGCTGCCATGGGTGTGGGCAAACACACAGAGACCCTTTCATGCCAGGCAAAGGGATATTGAAGGGATGACGGAATTGTGGAATGGTTTGTGCTGGAAGAGACCTTTAAAACCACAGAATTCCACCCCCTGCCATGGGCTGGGACACCTTCTACTATCCCAGGTTGCTCCAAGCCGCATCCAACCCGGCCTTGGACACCTCCAGGGATGGGGGCAGCCAAAACTTCTCTGGGAATTCCAGTCCAAGGCCCCACCACCCTCCCAGAAAATAATTCCTTTGCAGTATCCCATCTAATCTCACCCTACTCCAGTTTAAAGCTGCTCCCTGCGTCCTGTCCCTCCATCCCTTGTCCCAAGTCCCTCTCCAGCTCTCCTGGAGCCCCTTTAGGCACTGGGCAAAGGGGTCACAGCCCTGCTAAGAGATAAAGGCAGGGTCTCATCCCAAATCCACGTTTTGGGATTCAAGGAACCCGCCAATTCCATAAATTGTGCACTTCCAGAGCCCAGAGTCACAGAATGCTTTAGGTTGGAACAGCGTTTAAAGATCATGGAATTCCAACTCTTGCCATGGGCAGGGACAGCTTCCTCTATCCCAGGTTGCTCCAGTCTGGCCTTGGACAATTCCAGGGATCCAGGGGCAGCCACAGCTTCTCTGGGAATTCCATTCCAGAGCCTCACCACCCTCCCAGGGAAGAATTCCTTCCCAATATCTCATCTAACCTTACCCTATTCCCTATTTAAAGCCATTCCTTGTGTCCTGTCACTCCATCCCTTGTCCCAAGTCCCTCTCCAGCTCTCCTGGAGCCCCTTTAGGCACTGGAAGGGGCTCTGAGGTGTTCCTGGATCCTTCCCTTCTCCAGGCTGGGCATTCCTAGCTCTCCCAGCCTGGCTCCAGAGCAGAGGGGCTCCAGCCCTTGGAACATTTCCATGGCCTCCTCTGGACCTCCTCCAGCAGCTCCAGATCCTTCTGCTGTTGGACCTCAGGACTGGACCACAATCCATGATCCCAACCCCATCCATTGGGCCCCGTGGTCTGTGGCTCCAACCTCAACCCCATAAATTTCTCCCACCAAACACCAACAACGTCTCCCACTCCAACAAAAACCCTAAAACATCAGGGATTTATTTCCATGCCCTCTTAGCAGCACCAGCATTTCCTAACACAAGAGTTTTCCCTCCAAACAGGAAGTTTCCAAGAGCACAGATGATCCAGCAGCTGGAAAGCCTGCAACAGGATAACTCTGAGCACCTGTTTTCATTCCAGAACCACACTGGTCTTTAAAGCATTTTCACAGAGCCAGAGCTATCAGCTGGAATTTTTATTCCTCTTTGGAATCCACAAGTTTTTGAGTCAGGCCAGCACAGTAGAACTGGCCAAGTGACCCTGCTTTATCCACATTATCCTGTGGGACAGAGAGGAAAACAAAAGCCAGGGAATCACTGCACACACAAAAACAAGCTTGGAAATTCTCCTTTTTTTTTTCCAGGGTTATCCAGAATTTCCTTCCTTTTTCCCAGCCAGAAGCATTTAAGAAATTAATATGAGCTGTTATAAGACAAGAGGGGAATGACAAGAAGTGGGTTTTTACTCCCTGAAAAATCTATTTATATAGGAAATTCCCTATCATGGAATTAATCTCATGGAGCACCCTGGCTCCAAGCTGGGTTTCTGTGGGAGACAGGAGCAGCTAAAACCTCTAAAACCTTTTATTGAGAATATGGTTACATCACAGAGCCTTTGAACAAATGAGGGGAGGATTAAGGTTTTAAATTTCCCAAGTGGCCTCACTGGTGGTTCATACAGTCAGCAAGAGGAAGGAAAAAATAAACCCAGGGGTGGGAATAAAAAATCTGGGAGATTGGGGATTTTAAACAGCACAAACTGCAGCTAAAAATTGAATTTTAGGAGGGTGAAAGTGCCCTGAGGTGGTGGGGAAGGCACAGTCAGGGCAAGGTGCTAGCGGGGAACAGGTGATTTAAGTCTTCACTCCTAGGACAGAAAACTTGGCAAAATAAAAGGATTAAAAATAACTTTTTCAGCAGCATTCAGGATCCCCTGCAAGAGAGAAAATATGGATCCACACTCCTAATGTCAGGGTGACAAAAACAGCAGGAAAAAGGTTGTATTGATAATTTCTTTTAAATAACAACAAAAATAAAGTAATAGAGCTGATCAGGTGTTCTACTGCTTTAATTAAAAAATAATCATATTATGACAGAGGCTGCTGATGCCCTGCCCAGTTGTCCCTCCAAAGCGTGACAATATTTTCCATGTTTTTCTTTGTGCTCCAGACCCAAAGAGAAAAAATTGGGGAAAAAAAATCCCAAATCCCTCCTGTTAATCTTCCCTCACGAGCAGCACCTGCTCTTTAGACAAGGCTCTGAGTTAAACCCCGACCTGGTTTAAGGTTGCAACCTCTTGAGCTGCAGCCCAGGCTCAAGTGACTCCAGATCAGATTGTTCCAGGGGGGAAAAAAAAAATCCCTTCCAGAGCTTGGCTGAGTTTGGCTTTCTTGGTTATTTGGGATTTATTTTAGGGGTGTTTTCAGTTTTGGGACTTTTTGCAAGAAGAGCTCCACTTATGCAGTGAACTCGCTGCTGGTTTAGCCCATTAGATCTCAAAGGGCAAAACTAATAGGAAAAATGCTTAAATAGACCCCAAAATGAATGTTTTCCACGTTTTCTTGCTCCCTAAAACTTCTCTGACTCCAAGAAATCAGGAGCCTGAGGACAATTCCCACTGATTCCATCCTACTTGTTCCTAATTAAACAACGATACCGGCAGAGCAGTCAGCCCCATCTCTCCCGCACATCCCGACTTTCCTTGGGAGCAGATCCAAAGGAAAAAAAAACTCCTCAGGAAGCACCACCTTGCCCAGCACCTGTGGGAGCGAGGGGCCAGACAGGGAACACCAGGCTGGATCAGCTTCCCGCGGGCAAGAAGGAGGAAAAAAGCCAGAATATCGGTGAATTAGGTGAAAAGCAGCCTCAGGGGAGGCTTGGGGATGGAGCCAACAGAAAAGATGGGATTCGGCAGTGGAGTTTTAGGGAGCTGGGAGATCCCTAGCAGGGCTGGATGTCCCCGTGCCCCCATCCATGGGGACAGCCATCCATCCCTATGGATGGGACAGGGATACGGGGCCAGCCCAGCCCAGCCCATCCCATCCTCACCTTCCGTGTGCTGCCGCTCTTCGAGCCGTGTAGGAGGACAAGGCCACCGTCCCTGTCCCCATCCGGGCTCTCCTCCTCGGGGGGCATCATCTCCAGGGATGCCACATCCACAGGCTGGGAATGGGGGGCTGGAGCTGGGAGGCTCCTGCTTGAGCTCGCAATGGGGTTTGGGGGCTCGGCGACCCCTCCTTTAATCCCACAGGGGTCCAGATCCCAGGCCTGTCCTAAGTGGGGGTTTAAACCCCCCCTCCTCAAACCCTTCTCTGCTCTGTCGCAAAGCCCCCTGCACTCAACATCTGGCCAGATGTCAGCCCACAGCTTCCCCCCTAGCAGAAATAATTTAGGTCAAAGAGGGGACACAAACCCCACAGACCCCTTTTGTAAAGCTACCCCGGGTAGGGGGATGTTAAATCCCACCAGACCATAAAAGGGGGGATGTTTAAAACCCCCAAACCCCGCTTGGAAGAGCTAATCTAGATCAGGGAAAAGGGAGTTTTACCCCCCAAACTCCCCTGGCAGAGATACCTCAAATAAGGAGGTGCTTAAACCCCTACAAACTCTGTTTACAAGAGTTACTCCAAATGGGATGGGGTTGTTTAAACAGAGGGATTCGGGATGGGGAGGGAGTCAAACCCTCTGCAAACCCCTTTACAGGGCTACCCCAAATTGGGGGGGGAACCCCCCAAACTCTCTTTGCAGAGCTATCCCAAAAGGCGGGGGGGTGGGGAGTTTAAACCCTTCCAAAACCCCTTTTCAGAGCTACCCTAAATACAGGGAGTTTAAACCCACCTTATACGGCGGCCCCAGATGGGGCGGGAGGTTAAACCCCCCCTCCCCTCGCAGCGTAAACGCCCCCAAAATCCCCCTCCTAGAGACACTCCAGCCAAGGGGACCCCCCCGAGCTTCCTTCCAGAGCCGAACCCCGCCGACCGACAACCCCACCCCGGGGTGCCCCGGGACCCTCCGGCCGTGCCCCCGCTCACCCCCGGCGCCCCCTCAGGCCCCGCCAGCCCCAGAGCGATCGCGGCGGCTCCGCCGAGCGCGGGGCATAAGCAGGGCGGAGGGGCGGGGCTTAGCTGCAACGCAACCAATGAGAGAGCGTTGCAGCGTTGACGGACAACGATTCTGCCCAATAGAAGCGCGGGATTGGGAGAGGCGGCGGGGGGAGGAGCGGAGGGTCCGTTGCCTGTGGCAACGGTGGGAATTAGAACGCGGGTGACGTCACTAAGGGGCGGGGCTACAAGCCCCGCCCACAGCCGCGGCTGGACTGGGGTCCCCCCTCCCGGGTCCACATCTGGGTGGGCTCTGATCCCAGTCCGGGCACATCTGGATGATCCCAGCTAAAACAAGGGGCACCCTCCCCACCCCGGTCACATCTGGACGACCCCCGATTTCAGCCAGGCCACTTTCCCAATTCCAGCCACATCTGGGCCTGTCCCCATTCCCTGCCTCACATCTCAGTGCTTGTCTGTTCCCAGCCCGGCCACATCTGGATGACCCCACCTACCACAAGGAGCCCCCGTCCCCATCCCAGCCACATCTGGGCTACTCAACTTCTAACCAGGTGTACTCCTTCACGCCCCCGGCCACATCTGGGCGGTCCCTCCCTCATTCTGCCCCTCCCCAGGGCTCCCCCCCTCCTCTCCTCAACATCTGGGCTGCTGTGCCCTTGCCCTCTTGTACCCATGGTAGCTGGTCCTGTATAAACCATAGTTTAGTATGAAACATAATAAAAAATTAATGAAGAAATAAAATGAAATCCTCTTTATTCCTTTTTGCAGGCAAATCCTGCCCCATATTCCTGCTCTGAACCTTTGTCACTAAGCACAAGAAGCACCCTGAGTCTTTATGTGGGCCACAATGAAATTAATGAGAGATAAATCCCATTCATACCAGCGGGACACAGGGAATTCCATGCAAATCCAGCTGTTTATTGGGTGGAAAATATTAGCCCAAGATACATTAAATGTTTTATATGGTGTGGAGTTATTTTATAACTGCATTTATTAAACCCGTTCCACCCTTTCCCAGTTATTTTTTCTCATCAGGGCTTCAATGACTGTGTGATCACAGGGAAGGGCTTCTCTTCCTCCAGGATTTTCCAATCCAAAAGGAAAGGCTGTACTAGAAAAGTGGAATTACTGATTAATCTGGAATATTTAATGGATACATCCCCCAACAGCTGCTGTGGTGTCACCAAACCGTGCAGGGATCCCATTCCAGTCTGGTTTTCCCTAAGGATGAGCCAAACCCCCCTTTGTGCTCCACTTTTCCCAAGCAGAGCTCCGGATGGAGCCATCCCATTCTAATTCCCCTCATGGCAAAGAGCTGTGGATTTATCCCAACTCTTTTTTTTATTTAAAGACCTGGATTTATCCCAGGTTGTGCTTGCGTGGGACTGAGGAGCAAACTGGAGCTGCTCTAGGCTAGGACAGGTTTTTCCCAGCTCACATCCCTGCAAAACCCATCTTTTCCCATCATGGACATAGAAAACTTAGGAGAAACCTCCACAAAGCTGAATAAATCTTATTGAATTCAGGAAAAATGGGAGAAATCCAAATCCAAGCTGTCCTTGGAAGGATGCAGCCAAGAGCAAACAAGCCCCGGCTTGAAATTGTCCTTCCCTGCTCCCTTCCCCGGGGCTGGCTCCCATCCCTGGACAACCTCTACTCATCCAGCCAGAAAGGTGGCTTGGATGTGTTTTTCCCAGGATGGCGCAACAGGGATCAAAGAGGCTTTCCCAGATCCAGCCCTTCCTCCGGGGGTTTCCGCTCCCACCCCCGGCCGCCAACCGGGCGGGACCTTCCCAGGGGAATGCGAGGCCCCGCTACTCATCCTGGCTGGGGATTCCTCATGGAGCAGTGCCCTTTATTCACCCAAATCCTTGAGTTTTCCTGGAATTACGGCATGGTTTGGGTTGGAAGGGGCTTGAAAGGTCATCCAGTACAGAGAGCAGGGAGACCTTCCACTAGAACAGGTTGATCCAAGGCCTTGGACATTTCCAGGGATGGGGCAGCCACAGCTTCTCTGGGAATTCCATTCCAGCCCCTCACAGCCAAGAATTCCTTCCTAATATCCCATCTAATCTGCCCTATTCCGGTTTAAAGCTATTCCCCTTGTCCTGTCATTCCATTCCTTTTCCAGAGTCCCTCTCCAGCTCTCCTGGAGCCCCTTTAGGCACTGGAAGGGGCTCTGAGATCTCCCTGGATGCTTCTTTTCTCCCCTAAATTGGGGAAAGCTTTTTCCCATTATCCCTATTCCCCACTCCCTTCCCAGGTGTGCTGCTTACACCTGGTTTGGGATGGATGTGGACATTGGGAGGCTCAGCTGGGATGAGGTTCTTGATGACATCAGGGGCAGGTGGAAGTAATGGACTCATCCCATGAAAAGGGCTGGAAAGGAGTGGGATGGGTTTCAGTTTGAGGGTTATGGGCAGTAGGATCCTGTGGGATCTGGGCTTTGTGCCCAGACCCCTCCACATCTAACCACGGAGCTCTGATGGATGAGAGACAGCTGAGAAAAGATGGATTTGGGGATTAATTTAATGATGCAATTAATGAGGAAACATTTCCTGCCAAGTAGGTTTTTCCAGATTATTTTTAATTCCCTATTTTTGGCCCCATTCTGTACTTGATTGGTCCAAAGTATTTCCCTGCTTCCCAGGTCTCCTTGCTGAGGAGTTGCTGGTTGAAGGACATTCCCAAAATTCAGCTTTTGGGCTAAAGCTTCATTTCCCAGGATGCATCCTGGGCTGGAAGCTTCCAATCAGGCTGAGGGAGACTTTAAAGGATTTTCCCGGGAGAGAGGGGATTTCCCTTAGGGAAGCAGCTGGGTGAGGAGTGAGGTCTTCTCCAGGCTGGCTGGGATTGGGAATGTTCTCCTGTACCAACTGAGCTTCATCCCAACTGCAAATGCTCTTGGCACAGCAAAGCCTGGTAAAATAGGGAGTTTTTCCAAGTGTTTTCTACTCCCAGAAAAGTTTTCAGGATGTTTCATATTGGTTTTTATTTACCTCCTTGAGGAAATCCTAGGGGTTTTTTTTCCTCATTGTGGAGATTTTTCATGGATGGGAACCAGGAATATGACCTTTATTCCTTGCATCCTCTTGAGTTTCTAGGGAAAACAGGGATTTGGGAGCGTCTGGCTGTTCCATGAGGAGAGGGGAGAGGTATCTCAATTTACCCTGCTTTTCTGCTGTGCCTAATTATTATTAATTGTCATGGTGGAAGCTCTCTGGTGAATTCCTGAACAGTTTTAGGGAATTTCCTCTTTTTTCCTTTTATTGTCTTTTACTTTCCACCTCCAACAGAATTTCAGGGACTGAGCTAAAGGATTTTCCTTCTTTTTTTCAACATGGGTCCTCATCAAAGATAAGCTTGACTCTGTGAGCTCCAGACTTTGGGATTGAGCTGTTGGGGTTTCCTTGGAGAGCAGAACTGGGGTGGCACCAACCCTGTGCTGTTTCCATCTCATTCCAGTGACCGAGCTTGGATTCTCTGCCTCAGCACTCCCAGGAAATTGTGGATGACGGAGCTATGGGGGTGTCAAAAGACAATGGGGTGAAGAAAAGTAGCAGGTGGGTACCATGGAGCATGGCAGGGAATTTTGGGGGGGCTCCAGCTTTGTTATCCCATTGGTTTTCCTGGGAATTTCAGCGCTCAAGCAGAGAAATTCCTCCAGAATTCCTTTTGGGAAGCAATATTTGGTGCTGCTGGATACAAGGATGAGGAAGTATGGCATCGTGGCATGGTTTATTGTCACCACTTAGGGGTTGGTTTCAGTGGGATCAATTCTTCCTTATCCCAGGAAGCGAAAGTATGAGTTGGAAAAGGGGCAGGACGAGCCAAAGGCGCTCCCGGTGAAGAAGAAGAAGGAGCTGGAATGTACAGTGAAGGTACCAACCCCGCCTCTGTGCCTTGGGGTGACCCTTGTAATTATCCCAAAAATTCCATGGGACTCAAACCCATGGTATGAACTTCCCTCTCCTTTATCCTGCTCTGTCCCGGTGCAAAGCCTTCCATGGGAAAAGGGAAGAAGAAAAAACCATCAAAAGTCACGGAAAAGCCACTGCAGGAGAACATCATCAGCAGGTCAATCCTTGGATTGGGATGGAGATGGGATCTGCAGGGCTGGGCTTTTCCATCTGGGTTGTCCCA